TTTTATATCTCAGCAGGGCAGCTGAAAAGGAGTTGATACAAACTTTATATATAGACACCTGCTGCTTACAGAAGAGATACTGGTTTTGCACAGGTTGTGCAAACACAGACACATCCCCGTCCTTGCTTGTGTTCTATCTTTGCCGCACCCGTTAAAAGTTAGCGGGCCAACCCTCCCAGCCTCCGTGGCACTTCTTTTTCTGGGTTAAGAGGGGCAGAGGTAACAGTCCTTTGTGCTGTGCATCCGAATTTGAGCCTGGGCACTAACTCCCCCGCCAGCGTTACATCAGGAAACATCTACTTTTAACTTTGATGATATTTTTCATGATCCCCAGAGCGGCTGCAAGGGCAGTAACCCCACTTCACAGGCCTTTTCAGAACTGCTTGCCTAGGCATCTGTGCTGAGACCACGTACACCACAGCTCGGTTACCTCTACAGCTTCTTCAGCGTTGGCTGTTTCTTGTAGCTCAGCACAACGGAGCGGGGAGCTGGTGACGCTCTGTTGGACGTCACGACTGCCCGGCTGGTACTGCAGTACTTGTAACAATTCTGTTAACAGCAAGCAAGCTGAACCAAAAGGTTCTGCAGAAAAATCTTGGCTACAGCAAGTCTAGATTTTAGGACCCATTAAAAGAATTGTTAAAGGCCTGTCTGGTTCAGACTGTTAGTGCTGTTAGGCTGTACTAAAGCCTGCCGTGATGACTTGTGGTAGATACAGGCGACTGCTGTGAAAACCCATCATCTAAGGCTTTGCCTAGGCTCCTGCCACTCAACCCCAAAGCCCTCCAGTACTGCAGCCTCTGGGGTTTGCTGGTGACGAAAGCATGTCACGGCATCAGTGGTATCATGACCAACTGTCCTAGCAGGTACGTTGGGTTTGAGTAATTTTGTTTGTTTGCAAATCAAGACCAGATTTATTAACCCAGGGTTTTTAAACAAGTTTTCAACCTAAGGCATACATACAGATTTTTTTCAAATACAAACTAAAGGCCTCGGCCAGCTGCAGGAACCTTAGCAAGTGATAGCTTCTTAACGTGTGCCTAGCTGCTGACCAAGGCCTTCCGAGAAGATGTTGTGCCTGCCTGTGTACGGCCACCGTGCAGTCTCGCAGGCCACGACAACATTTGGCATCGGTGAACGGGCTTGTTCCGAGGCCTCGCGTCTTTTTCCTGAAAAATGGCACTGCGTCTGTCTTGCGGACTCCCACTCGCAGCTGCCTTGTCTTTGCGATGCCAGAACCCCAAGGGCAGCTGTGCCAGAGGGCTGCACGTTCACAGCTTTCGCTTCTTCAGAGCCGTTGCCAGCGTAGCATCTTTTTTTGCGGAGGCTTGAATGCGCCAGGAAGCAAACCGAAGCCCCGGAGCCTTGCAGGGGCTAGGGAACTGTGCTCACGCCATTCCGCTTCACGGCTCACCTCACAACACTCTCCATCTTAATACTTGAGGGGTTTTGGGCGGGCTGGAGGGAGGAGAGGCGGCTAACAAACAGAGCTGCTGACCAGCTGACTGCTAGGATGGCACCTGGCCTACGCTTCCCTGTAAGCAAACAAGCTGGCTGGCACCCCAGCTCACAGGGGTAGGACTGGAAAAAAATTATATTCAGAGGTAAAAAATGCAACAAACTTGCTAAGATTTTTTTTTCTTTTAAATAAAAAAATGACACTGGTGCTGCTCGTAACACATTCACATTCACACAACACATTCTGTTTCTCGAAACGTGAGTTATTCCCTCAGTTTAAAGGCAGAACAAAAAGAAGGCATCCAGAAGTGAAGAGCAGCAGTATCTGTGCTCGTGCAGAGCCCCTGTAACGCCGTGCCAAAAAGAAGAAGTAACTGGATTAAACACAGAATGTGCCCTTAGCAAATGCATTTTTAACCTTTTCTGAACAAGCTTGTTCTGCACCTATTGAATTCCCTGAAAGCCATTGATCAGATTATAATATAAGGCTAGCGAACGAGGCAGATACAGCAGGGCAGTCAATAGCCTGCTTTTAGCCAATCCAGAAATCCAAGAAAAGCATCAGCAGCGACAAATCGAAGTGCTATTATCAGACGTAGGCTATTTCAGACAAAACCAGGGCCCACAAGTGGCAGTCTGACTAGGCAGCGCTAGGATTGCCAGAAAAGCGCAAATGTGGTTTCTGCTCAGAATCACTAGGAATGAAAAAAAAAAAATTACTTCCAAAATGCTGTTGGTTGTGATGAAAACACACTTTGGTTCGGTCTCACCTTGAAGTTGGCTCGTTGCAGCAACAACTGGAACCGTAACTCGGCCCAGTGGCTGCACAGCTGCCGCGCAAGGCATCATTCCTTTCCTCTCGCACACTCTGCCTGTTAGCACGCTCAAAGGGCGAAGGATTACCGTCAGCCTTGCATGGCTCTCGCAAGGTGTTTTTCTTGGCATCAGTTAGGAAGAGGCTGAGGTGCCCGTAGGTGGGAGAACCCTTTTTTCTTTATTCTCCATTCTCCTGCGTTCAGAGTATGCTTTTTCTAGCTTTCTTCCCTCTTCAGCTTAGTTACCCTGACCAAAGTTCCTGTCTTCCTTCCTTCCCCCGAGCAGCTCTCATCTACAGCCCAACCCCGCACCGACGAAACAGCCGATATCCTCTGCACGAGAGAGTTGTACCCCCAGCCGGCGGCGCTTCTCGCCAGGCCTATGGAAGGGCAGTTTTGACAACGTGAAGCGCATCACTGGAGTTCCCGTTTCCTCCCTTGTCCTTCCTCTAGATTTTGTCATTCGGACTGATTTTAAGTTGTCAGCATCTCACTGGCATTCTCCAGGTATTTGCCTGTCTTGTAGCTTACGGGGTGGGTGAAGTGCAGCACTGTGTCCTATAGGTGCTTGGTTCCGATTCTTTAAAAGTTACTCATCTAGATATTCAAAAAAGTACACCCTTAGAATAAGTCAATACCTGACTACTCCTACATATTAAAACCAGTAGCTCTGCTACTACTTCACCTTATTCTTTCCCCTTTTCTTAGGACTTTAACAACTGCTCAGAGCAGCTGTTTAATTACATGGAATCCAACCAAACTACCACAGCACTTAATATTAAAGGTGTCTTAGTTAGGAAGTTCATTTACAGAAATATTCTCCATGAATCGGACTGTATTCTACCCTTCATACTTAGCTAAGCATCTGCACTAAAATGCAAAATGACATCCATGCAGTTCCCCAGTTTAGAAACACAGATGAGAGGAAGACGCTGAGCGGGTGTATTCAGTGGCTAGTTCACCAGGTCTGTTCGGTTGTGCCCTAAGTTTACGTACGGAGACAAACTGCACACCAACAAGCAAAAAGCGAGGGAAAACACATTTTATTTGCAAATATGGCAAAACTCAATGATTCAGGAACTCTACAAGCAAACAAAAGTGAGAGACATCTTAAAAAGCGGTAAAATCTTCCCCTTTTAATGTATTACTGATGCATGTTTTCAGTTAGTTCTAAGACAGTAATTCTAATAAGATTTCCCAGTTTTATATATTTCTCCGTCCTCTTGGTAACTTGCAAACTTTGAGTAGTAGGTGTGGTTGACAGATTTGTATCAAAGATGTAACTAACTGGGAGGCTACTTGTGTTACCGTAAAGCTTATCTGAAAGCAAAAGTTACTGCTCCTCTGTCCTCAGCAGCAGTTTCCCTCTTCACAGCTAGGCCGCCTGAATAAGACATCTTTGTACAGAGGGTCTTCAGGTCGATTAACTTACAGACGCCGTATTAAAATTCAGTAGAAACTGTATACGAATTTCTATATTTTCTTTTTAGGACAATAAAAAGCATGTAATAAAAAAGGGCTTAACCACCATTAGTAGGGTTGTACACCACTGAGAGACAAAGCAAGTTTGTCAAATGCAGATCCAGGGAAGCAGTATCCAGGATCACCCACAGCTACCTCAAAACACGAAGAGGAACTACACTTGTCAGCGAGTTCTCAGTGCGTTGCCCAATGCCATGTGGGCACCAAAACAGGTGTACAAAGTGTCTTAGGACAGCAGTCGTACCGCTGGCCTCGAGAGAACATAACTGGTCTCTTCCAGTCATGTCGTATTTCTCGAAAAACGGAAATTGACGTATACGAATAGGACAGAAAATATCAATGCTTCTTAAGATGTTTCTCCTGTCCTATAGCATTTGCAAAGCAAATGTTGACGTTGAGAAAATACGTGGCCACGTTCACTTGAAAGCCTGGCTTGTTGTGACACAGCCTTTATATGCTTACGGCCATTATTGCAGCTAAACCACCAAATATTAGTGCCTGCTTATTCATACGTTGTGACTTTCACAGTTTCACTTGAGCGCTATTTTTGTATAGGTCACACAGCAAGTTACTGCAGATCTGCAAAAGGAATTTGATCCAACAATTGTCTGATCCAAACAGTAACTGCCATTGTACAGATGAAACTTCTCCACTTGAGAACTGACGACATGGATTTATAATAAGCTTTTGGTTTTTTCATTTTACCAGTTTAAAGTTGAAACTAGTATCAGCATTAACAAGCAGCACTTTTTGAAAACTAAGTCAAGTCATTCTTACACACACTGATTTGTTTAGAATTGTGATAGACGAGAGGATCAAGAACAGCGGTATTCTGCGCTGAAAAGAATCTGCGACTACTAAAAACTTGAGTTTGCTTAAAAACTACTGTACTGTTAATTTTTTCTCTAAACTGAACTGTTTGCAAAGAGAAATCCTCTCTATGTCTAAGAAAATGCATTTACAATTATTTACCCCCAGAAGTTGTAACATTCGATTTCCCATCCCACAATTCTTATTTTTCTGCTATGGTTATCCAAATGTCTATGCTTCATTTAAGAGAGGAAGAGGAGAAGACAAGGCAATTAGTCTCAACAAATGTAACATCTGTTTTGCCAGCCCTCCTCAATACAGAAATTCTTTGGCTTAACATTCCAAAGGATTGTATTAAAAAGAAAGAAGTCACCAAGTATGAGAACACCTGCAATACGGAAAATAAGATGAGGGATACCAACAGCTCTGGTCCCTCTACGATATAATACATTTTTTTTCATCCTGCTTATACTCTATTATATACTCTGGGTAAATCTGGTGTTTTTCAAAGACAACAAAAATGGAAGGATTTAACTCGTCGTCCACGCAGCTGTCATAAAACCGAAGCCTGTCAAAAGACTTTGTCGGGGGGCGAACATAGGCTGCATTGCCCTTAATATAATCTCCAACCAATACACGAGCCACGAACATGATGTTTGTTTTCATCGCAGGCTGACAGTATGCATGGGAATAGGAAGCATCTCTAGCAAAGTAACTCCCTAGAAAATTATATGAAAACATGGTTATAAGGAATACGTATAAAGAGACAGCGAAAACTGAGCATCCCCTCGTTTTTCAGAAGGTATTTGACCCAACTCTCCGCTCTCCTCTTACTCAGTGTACATAATACCATAGACACGTTTACAAGAGAAAGGATTCCACCACATAATTTCCCTTCAGAATCTGCTATTTTAGGAATAATTTTTAAAAAACCAAAACATATGAAAACACTACAGGTATGTCTGTTATGATGAGAGGGACAGACAAGAAAACATGAGGACCTTCCACAATCATACTGAGGGAATGCACACCCTTCTTGCTCCCTTCCATGAAGACTAGCGGCCATTTCTCTGACAAGTTCACATTATGACCTTGAGCCTTCAGAAGATCCCACCTACAGCACCAGAGGCTTTTTCAAATCCCTACATTAATTCTCTTAACCTTGTTTCACCTTGTGAAAAAAACTTACCCCCACACAAATCAAATTCTTGTCCTCTCCGGAGGGAAGGAAGATCGTAATACCAATTCCTACCTCTTTTTTTCACCCTCTATATAAAGACTTAAAAACTTTGATTGCTCTAGTATCAGAGGAGTCTAAGTAAACGTCTAACACACAGAGTCACTTCTACGTACCCTTTCCGTAGTTAGTTCCATTGCTTCCACAAATTCTCCAGTCAAAGTTGTGAATGCAGATGGCTTTCATGAAGGAGGCGTCGGTTCCGTGGAACAGGAGCTTTTCGTTTACTTCCTTCCCTCCACTTTCCCTCTTCATCTGCTCCTTTTGCCTAACAGAAAAATGCAGGGGAGGAGAGCGTGAGCCGTGGAAGAAATGGGAGAAAAGCGTTTATAAAAGAAAAAACAAGTACATAATGTACATGTGAATATCAGCTGGATGAGATTTCCAGTCTGCTTTCTCCTCTCTCAGCTTGGAAGATGAAACAGACTAGCAGGACGATGAACAATTACAAGATGAGCAATATATTGATGTCACTGCCCAGGAATTCTAGATGATCCCGGCTTTCTTCAGTGAATTTAAGTAAGCATTGACACGATTACAGTCCCCACTGTACCAACCTTTTGCTCCTCTGTAGGGTCCTACGAGTTCTGCTTTAACGTCTCCAGTCTCTTCCCACCCCCAAACTCTCTGCGGAGCGCAGGCTGTACTAACCGCAGAGCCTCCATGCTCCAGCAGTGGCTAAAAGCTGAAGGCAGCTTGTTCTTCATTCCCCTAGTGAACTCATACCATACACCCTGAGCGCCTGCCCCTCCGCGAGATCAGTGCAGCTGAGGAGACAGAGCCAGAAAGAGAGAAACTGAACCTTCTTTCATCACTGAAGACCTTACAGATGTAGGCCAGAGTCAGACTGAGCTATGACCAGTATCAAGAGAGGAATCACGACGGAAGGCTCAACTAGCACTTCCCATCACTATTTCACAGCGTCCAGACATCCCACGGGTTTTCAGAAGCTGTTGAAGCAGACAAGACAGTAATAGTCTTCAGGAAGTGATCAGCTACGAAGTAAACAGAGCCAGGGAGAGGGGGGACTCCTTCCAACTTGTAAACTGCGTAAATGAAAAGTTAAGAGCGATGGACTGAAATTCGTTCATTGAGAACTTGCCAATGTTAAACTCTGCCTGGTTAGCTTAATTATCTCATTGGAGGAGGAGAAAAACTATGCGCTATTACATGTTTTGGAGTGTCTTATGAAATTATTAGCTGATAACTTCCTGGGTTCAGTCACTTCACAGGTGAAAGTACTTATTTGAGCAGTATTTTTTTTCTCCATTACCGTTCCATACAGTCCTTGAATACTTCCACTAAGTATCTGTGCTTTTGTTTTAAACTAGACAATGGTTCTATGCAACAACTTAATCTGCTACCAAATTAACCTGAACGTGGTCGTTTATTGTCACTAGCACCAGCTCAAATCTGTTGGTATCTAGCTTGGTGTAAGTACCTGGAGTTCAATATCACTGATGCAGATGCTGAAAACCAGAAAGGAGCTCTGGAGCTCACAGATCATTAAGTTAAAGCATTAGGATTCTTTCTCAGTGAATACTGACTTCATTCAGCAAAGGTACTCAAACTCTTGAAGATGCCTTAAATAAATCTGGGGAAAAAAAAAAAAGGCCTAGGCATCCTTACCCTCGCACACTTCTTTTTCAGGAAGTATTTCACATACTCTAACGGATAAACATTTGTAGCATGTGCAGCAGGCAGCTACTGTTCAATCCCTGAGACAATATGCTATTCGACATCACTGGTGGGTATCCTCATCCCAATTTTGCGTCATTTGTGTCTTTCTGTCCGTACCCCTCCCCCCATCTTCCAAGGAGTCATGCCAAGAGAACCTCCCCCGGGGAGCATGGCATTCTCTGGAAGGCCTTAGACACTTAATTTCACTCCTGAAACTGCCCCTAAGAAGGAAATACCAGTCACGTTAAAGCACAGGTGGTAAAGTCTTCCCTTTCGTAGGGGGAAGATACAGGATACCAGCTCTTGGAGACTCCCTCCCCTTAAGGATGAGGAAACAAATGCTAACCACTGAAACACTTTCCAGAGGGATGGATTCTGAATCCTCTGTATTTTAAGGACATTGTAGTTTTTCATAGTCTGAAGAAACAGCTCCTTTATTCTGTTGTATTCAGAGGTTGTATTACTGATCTCCACTGCCTATAAAATACAAACCAAAAGAAGACATGATGCTTCAGTTAGCTTGTAGCATGCAGAAGCCTAATTACAGCAGATATACTTTCAGAAGGGTCCCCAAACTATATACGAAGGTTAATTTAATGCTTTAGATTGTGACTATATGAATAATTTGGACAGACACTTAATATGGAAAGCCACACTTTTTTCATGGTTAAAAATCCATCAAGAAATGCACATTTTTCCCAAAGAAAAGTTAAGGCAAAACGTAATTAAAACACGATTCACGCTCTTCTGCTTACTTATGCATAAATTTTCCAATTTTTTCTCCAAAGTAATCTGTGTCTTTAACCTCCTAGAACGAACACATCTCTTCTGTAAGCTAAACTGAAAATGCATAATGCTGGCAGACTGATGCCACTTGGTAATACTTCCCACTTTACCGCTGCCTAAGTCAAGTGGGGACTCAAGGTGTCTTAAAGTGAAATGCCCAACATCCCAGGTATCAAAGTTGTGTTTTAAGCAAGAAAGCTGTGGTCATCCTAGGAGGCAATACGAAATCAACATCTTAACCTGTCAGGCAAAAGTTCCGTGTTTTAGAAGGCTGAGTTTAGAGAGAAGATAAAATAGGACTTATATTTCACAGCCACATATAAATAAAGAAGTGTTTTTCTGGACACGATGTCCAGCTTGTGCATTAAATATTTACTGAAGAAAAGGCCTACCATAGGAAAGTCTTCTATAAGGATTAAGAATAGTCAGCTACACAAGGAAGAATTATTTCTTTGAATTTATTAAAAAGCTTTTACAAGGTTGAATGAAATTTCCCATGTCTTAATACAAAAGTATTTTGCAAAGCCTCTTTACAACACAACACATCATAAAACAATTCGGATGGGCGAGTATTTATTATCTGCATGCTCTGTGACCACAGCTCAAGTTGCTCACCATCACCTACAAGATGAAAATTATGTCACTGTATTTCAGACTACATCTTTTATTTATACATAAACAGTACTTATTTAGAGTACAAATATGCTTTTGCTGTGTTGCTTCTTTGACGGAGGAACTGTAACCTTTCTGGGTAAAACAGAGGGTCAGCCACATGGTACAAGGCCTAATCCTGTAAGAAAGGCACTTCAATTATTTTATCGTATGATGGCCTCCAAGCAGCAAAGCCAGTTCTCTTTTGCATAAAAACTTTATGGGATTGTGCTCGTTTCCCCAAGGACGCTTCCCCTGCTAATAAAGGGTAACACCACATTGCTACTGCAGGTTGATACTTCACAGCAACATAATTTCTTTAGCTCTTTTCATCTTCAGACTTAAAAGGGAAAATCCCAGAGAGGATAAGCATTTGCTAACCCACTATCAAGGAGTGGAGTTTCTGAGGCAGAGAAAGAATCACTGCCCTGGCAATAATTTCTGTTAGCGTATGACTGTACAGGAACAGTACTCTGTGATATCGAACCTTGATCTCTGGTTAACCGAGGTTTTGGAAGCAGCATAGTTTGCATTAGTGCCAGTGACCCAACTAGAACTAATGCCTATAAAGTACACGGATAGACGCTTCCCGTTGCGTCAGCTCCCATTCCTCTTACAGCACAGCAATCTTTGGCACACGTGTCAGGATTCAGCAACATAGCAGCCACACAAAGACATCCTCTGACAGAAAAACACACATTAATTGCACACATTTCTCAGTTGCACATTAAAGATACAATTTAAAACCCAGCATGAAGTTCCAAGACAATATCAATTCCTTTTCTTTTTTCCTTTAAAAACTACTAATTCCACTTTGTTAACCAAAGACAGAAGAGACCCACACCAACTTTCCAATTGGTGTTACCGATTTCCGTTGTGCATTTCATACACTCTACTTTCTATATGCTAAATTATTTAGATGAAGACACTGCAACACTCAAAAAATAAGCAATGTTACCAAAACAGAGCTGCTCTTTTTAAGCACAGATTACTTTCTCCCTATCTCAAATAGGTGTTCCTTTTTAAAATGAATCACTTCCAGCGCAGCAAATTTTGCCAGGATTATTTGTCAACGTCTGAAGCGAAGGGAATTCATCAAGTCGTAATGGTCAGATGTTATGATGGTTACCACATGCATGCAGAATTCCAGTCAGTCCCAATATTACCTACTGCAAAAAAACAAGCTTAGGGTCCCACAGAAATATTTAATCTAGCCCAGACTTTCACTTTTAGCGCCAACAGGTACTGTCACATTTCAGGTACAGAATTAACTTCTCCTTTCCTGTGAAAGGCACTGAGCTTACAAGTTAAGAGACGGTTTTCTTAGGTGCCAACTCAGCAAGCAAACTGAGCTCTGGGAAACAAGATGATCCTTGTATTTCACGCATCCCCACAAGTACCACCAGCGACACCAGGCACATCGCATTCCAAAGCCTCTCACACTCACCTCAGTGACTCCAGAAACACCCAAACAAATGGACTCAAAATTCAGACTGAAGTTTTCAGAGTAAACAAGGGAAACCGTTAAGTACATACAACTCGGAGACCTAAAAAGAACTGAGCTACCTGTCTTCCTGGCATTCTTTTGAAAAATTTAAGCTGATGTTAATCAATTAAGCTGCTGATAAGCCAAGGGAAGAGCTGATGAGCTATATCCTTTATTATTTTGACAGAGCTCATAATATCACAGGCCCAAATCTTCAAAAGGCCTGGCTGCCAGATTCCCACACTAACTCATTATTAGCTCATTCGGCATGTGCTGGACACCTGACACTTTTACAATCTTGAAAATCTAGGGGGTTTTGGCTAATTGTGAAAAACAGCTATTGAAGGGAGCTACTGTACACAGCAGTTGACTTAGATTCTACCCATTGATTTTTCATCAGAACTGTATTTAGAGGAATTTGCTACATACACACATGGCCACATACTGGTGTTACCTTGAGTAAGGCATAATCCAACAAAAGAGGGTAGGCGGGGTAAAACGAAACATTCAGCACAAAGCAGAATAACAGAAACTGGCCCACAGAAGCTAAGATACATGATATTTCTGGTTCTAATGCCAGTGCCAACATAACTACACTACGGAAAATAAGATACAAAGAGTGAGAATAGCAATGGAGCTCTCTGTCAACCGAAAGTAGCCAGAAAGAATTCTGGAAATACGGTATTATATTCTGTCTTGTCCCTAGCCATCACGATATCTGTGCCAATATAACTTGGTCAGCATCACACAAGATTTTGTGACACACTCTTACGCTCCACATTATGTGCTGTTCCTTAATCAGGGTCAAAACCACTACAAAAAAGGACAAGTGTAACAATGAAAATCCTTTTCTCTAGCATACTGTAGCACTTACAGAGTCTGTGTTTCTCTTCCAGAAGGACTGCTTCTTAATACCGTTAGACCTAGCAATTTAGAAAACACCTGTACATTTTTGGTCTTGGCAGACCAAATAGGAACATATAGACTTTGGGCTGGCAGGGCTTTGTTTTGTTTTGTTTTGTTGAAGAGATCACTGCAAATGTTCTTTGATATTCTTGGCTGTAACTCCTTATTTCTGCCGTTCCTTGAGGCCATGGTCTGTGCTCAGATCTGTGATGTACGTGACAGTACTGGGTGACTTGAAGGAGCATACAGAGATTTTCCTTTCCTAGGTCTCCAATGAAAACTTATCCAACAACAGCCATGATGGTATTATTATTGGATGGCTTTTTAATGGCCTACACAGAAAAGGCTTGGTCTCAGCCCAGCTTCTAGTGAAGAAATACATGCTTCATAGAAGCTCCTTGCTTAACTGGTCCACCAAGTCACCAAGGTAAGCCATTTTTTCATTTTTAACAGTGAATCTCTTTGTCTTGAATTTGGTGAGGTTTGTTTTTACATGTGGATAGATGCCTAAAATGCAGATGAAGTTCATGGGAATTTGGCACCTTTTTCAGAAGCTCTTGGGAGGTCACCTAGATCTTTAGCGCACCCACCCAAGAAGTCACTCCTGTCACTTTTTAGCATCTACCCAGTTACAATTGCTTCAGTTAAGCAGCATTCTTCTTTGAATCATGCCTTTCCATCAGAATTACAAGAGGGAAAAAAAAAAGGAAAAAAAAAAAGATACCTTGTATCCCAAGTCAGGCAGTGCAGATGGATCCCAGTGGCTGGGACAGGTTTGATTTGGAATAGAAGAATCCCTCTGGCTGTTTGCAAATAGGCAGAAAACAAGGTGTTAGTAATTCTAGTCCTGCTCTGAACTTTCAAATTGGCAGCATCCCCTTTGGCCAATTCCTACATTTAAAAATAAACAAAATAAACCACAAAGAAACTGGGAAATGGCCTCATTCTGCGAGCTGGGCTTTGGATCCTGCCATTCAGTTGTCACACTCCTCTTCCACTTGCTTCTTTAAGAAGCAACTATCCATCACCAGTCCTGTGGATGTGGCACCTGGAGTAGCATGTACCCCAGAAACCAGGTGATGCACCAAGCCAAGAGTTTGTGATACAGCTTCTGTTCAGTCAAATGGATATGTTTTTTTCTAGCAACAGCTGCATTCTTTGCACAATTACTGCCAACACTGGCAGCCATTTTGCCTTAGAATTACTTCTGAAATATGAAAAAAACCCAGAGCATCATTTACCCTTTCTTTATCTTCTGCACATCTTCAGCAGACACAAACTTTGGTCGCCTGCAGACCTGTCTTCGAGTTTTAGAAGACATGTTTGTCTGGGTCATTTCTTGAGGAGAAAAGAGAAGGAAAAAGTCATGAATAAGTCTACGAGATGGGGTCATTAATTAATGACAGTCATTCATTAATAAAAAATGCATATTCATTGTAAATTCTGTCTGCTGAAGAATAGTTGCACAAAGCCTATGTAAGCTTCTTTTCCTTCCTGTAACTCTGTTATTTAACTTGTGCTTATCCTGCTTGCTCCCTTAAGTCATTCATGCTCTTTAAATGTTGCCCCAGCAGCACAGAAAGATGCTTCATTTTTCATTTTTACCATCCACAGGGTTAACTCGCTTTACTTAAGGTTTACTATGACTTTATATGAAGGCTACGCATCTTTTTATTTCTGGCCCAATGTGAGTCTGGATAGCGTCAAGGAATAAGGGGGAAGGTTACTTTTGTAAGGAATTTCCTCTGGGCCATTACTACCTAACTTCCCCTTCCAGTGAGTAAATCTGGTAGTGTTAGTAAAAGAAGTCATAGCTTCTAAATCCTGGAATAGCTTGCAAGTCACTCTTTGTAAAGCACTGCATAGTTATAAATGAGAACCTTTAAAATGAGTACCTTTAAAATTGAGCTGGTAATGTTGCAAGCCAGCCTGGAAAGATACGGTGGCATCTGGATCTGCTAGATACAAATTCTCCATAACATCAGAAGATGGTGAGCTGACACTATCCCCTTCTCCCTTTGGGGGGCAGGGGAAGAAAAGAAAAAAAAAAAAAAAAAAAAAAGAGAGAGAGAAGGGTAATGAGTAAACACAGTCAGGACTAAACCCTGGATAACTAGTTCGGGTAGAGGGAAAGAAGAGGCAAAGAGCAGGATGAAGAAAAATCTACCCAGAACTATCGTGGCCTAAAGTGCGATTACCAAACACTCATAACACACACAATACATAATTAGTAATGATGGACACACATGTATCCCATTTAAATTTCTGTAACAAGTTTTATGGGGTTTGGCTGGAATAGAGCTAATTTTCTTCATAGTAGCTAGTATGGGGCTATGTTTTGGATTTCTCCTGGAAACAGTGTTGATAACACAGGGGTGTTTTCATTACTGCTGAGCACGGCCTACACAGAGGCAAGGCCTTTTCTGCTTCTCACACCACCCCACCAGCCAGTAGGCTGGGGGTGCACAAGAAGCTGGGAGGGGACACAGCTGGGACAGCTGACCCAGACTGACCAAAGGGCTATGCCATACCATATGACATCATGCTCAGCATGTAAAGCTGGGGGAAAGAAGGAGGAAGGGGGGATGTTCAGAGTTACAGCGTTAGTCTTCCCAAGCAACCGTTACACATGATGGAGCCCTGCTTTCCTGGGGATGGCTGAACACCTGCCTGCCAATGGGAAGCAGTGAATGAATTCCTTGTTTTGCTTTGCTTGTGCACACGGCTTTTGCTTTACCTAGTAAACTGTCTTTATCTCAATCTACGAGTTTTCTCACTTTTACCCGTCCGATTCTCTCCCCCTTCCCACTGCGGGGGACTGAGCGAGCGGCTGTGTGGGGCTTAGTTGCCGGCCGGGTGTGACGGATGCACTTAACTCCTTGACGTAACTCGTGTTAGTTTGGTTCAGGCTCCAGAGGACATAAAGGTACCTAGGCCATGATCGGGCCATGAACTTCTCTAGTTCCAACCTGTTCTCTGAAAACCCACACAGGAACAGGGTGACATGGTGAGCAGTGATGTGTATGAGCTTGGAAACTGGAACACCAATCATGCGATTAACACATGAATAGCAGGTGGTTCTTCCAAGACTAATTTGTCAAGGAACAAAGAAAGTTGTGGGCACAAGGAGTCTCGTGCTTACCCTTCCCATTGTAAGTAATTTGACTACAAGCCAACCACTTTATTCCATAAATATGACAGCCTGAGTGAGCTTTTTTTGAGCTCTCCCTGCTAAGGAGCAGGCTGCACAGCGGCATTCTCCCCTTGAGCTGGGACACTTCTCAAGCTTACTCCTTGAGGCTGAGAGACCCCTTACCAACTCCAGATCTTTGGTACGTGACCAATATCGCGCATAACCCTGTATTATAGTGTACTAAGATTTTGTATTGGTAACTATTTATTATTATTATTATTATTATTATTATTATTATTATATCCTCTGTGCAGTAAGTAACAGAATGAACCTTGCCATCAGACTTTGTTAAGTCTCACTTTTACAAAATCCTACTTCAATAAAACTACTTTTGCTGCTACCTTTGGCGGTGGTTCTTTAAATGGTTTAAAATCTCCCCCGCGACGAACTGATTTTAGTCGGCAGACTAAAATTTAGACTGCTCTGTTACACCCGGGTTAAACCACAATGCAAGTATAATTCTGTAATGCACAAAACAATGTAAAATATGAGGGTATGCTGATGGAGATGCTTTCCATTTAAGCTGCCTACTGAAATCAAGGCCCACCATTGCCAGAGCCACTATATCCATCATCTTTCCCTGCCTACTTTTCCACGTCCCTGGATTACCTTTGTGTTCTGCCATTTGTGCAGCTATACTGTAAACCAGATGAGGAAAACTCATCTGCCTTGGGGGAAGGAGAGATTCCTTATTTATCTCCTTTCCTGCATTTTTCGGATAGATCACTCTCTCATCAAAGAGGACTTGGCCACCCAAGGAAAAAGGCAACATTTAGTCTGAGAGCAGAGCAATCCTTGCATGTCCAAGGAAGCAGGACAATGCTTAGAAGAGAGGCAAGACTGAATAATTTAAAGGCAATACATCTCAAGGACAGTGTATACATGTTAAATCTGCATAGAAGCCATGGACAACTCCAAAAGGGACTCTGACTAGAGAAACCAGCATACATCTTCAAAAACAGTCTGATCAACACAAGTCAGAAAAAAAGGAATTTTGCTTTCCTGCATTTTCCAACAAGGTCTTTGCCAGGAAAGTAGTTATAACAAATCATCCAGACACAAGGACAGACAATTGTTCGTACTGAACTTCACTGCAAGGAGATAAGGCATGTTCCCTTCCCTCCAGCCTGTCATCATTTTATAACAACATCTGTTATGAACATCTGTAGCTTCACTGCCTTACTTGACATTGTAAAATTCAAGCACAAGTATTTACTTAATTAACCTTGCTGAGTAAAGGGGAGTGGGGGAAGAGGCTCCACACATTTCAGAAGTGATTCAAAGCACAGGATGTGGACTCACCTGTTCTCCATATTCAATCCACTGGCCTTGGTCATTCTTCCAATACCAAATCCACTGCGTGGTCAATACAAATGTGGGTTTTGTGACTGATGATGGCGTAGAGAGGCGTCGAAGCAAAGAACATGACTGGGTCATTGTCTGGAAATCAATGCTCTTACTTGCTATGCTGTAAGGACAAATTCAGGTTTATTATAGTTAACAGTATATATATATATATATATATATATATATTCAGGCCTGAAAGAAAAGTACTTCCCACAGCATGCATGGCAGCTCTGAAAACAGTTTCCAATCTTCAGAAGCAAACTATGGCCTGTGAGACACTGAATGCCATCTCAGTCACTAGACAGATGTTGCACTGCCAGCTTTACAGACAGTCTGGGGCTACAATATGGCAAAAGGTACTTCTGCAATAAATAAGCACGGCTACAGTTTTTCTCAGTACAAAACCAGAAGTTGGTAAGTAGGTGACTGAGTTTGCCAGCAAACACCTGCAGCTTATCAACTTTGTTCTTCTTCTGTGGTTACAGAGGATGCAATCACAGCTGTGAGTTCTGTAAACAGCATTCGTCACTGGAGCCACCTGGGGTCTTACTCCTGCGAGGCTTGAAAAATTAAGTCTCAGGCAGAAAGACTTTGAAAGCAGCCTCCCCTCAGGAATCTTGCTTGTGATTTGTGCCATCCAGCAGCCTAGTCAAGCTGCAAATCAAAATCATCTGCTGTCTGAAGAGGCATGGACCAAAATGACTATACCATTTTATTGAGGTCAAACTTGGGGTCTCCTACAAGTCCAGGTGGCTTACAGTGGGGCTTTCAGAAAAGAATTAAAAGAAAAATGCACTCTCTTAAAAAAAAAAAAAAAAAAAAAAAAAAGAGATGGGCTGCTTACACAAAGGTCATTTCATAAAATTCCTCTAGGCACATTACAGATATTATTATATTTTATTATTATTATTACAGATACTACCTGCATTAGGAAAGGAATAGCCATACAGAAGGACCAGCTCTGAACTGTTGTTAAAAGGCCCAACTTAATTATTATAAATAAATCATGATTCATTATCTGAAATACTAATATTATAAGCACTAAATTCCACCCACCTCTTTTTACCCTGTATAGTTTGCAATAAATGCAAGATATTGTTGTGTTATTTTTAGAAGACAAAAATGGGGTGATATTTCCATGCAATCACTTTTACTTTTCTTTAAAAAAAAAAACCCTCTTATTTGTACATCCTCCCAGATTCTGAGAAGCTCGGTAATCAGAAGTTATGGAAGTCAGGTATCTTTAGGAAGAAAACGAGTTTTTCCTCAGGGGCTCAACCACAGTACTCTAAGCAAGCAGTCCAGCATCATTATACCTGCTGTTTTTTGGGTCACAGTAGGCCTTTTCAATTTCCTCCATCATGGGAAGGTCATTCCAGGTGCTCCCATCATGTATTTGCCATCGATACGGCAAATGGTAATGAACAAATTTGCATTTATCTGTAATGAGATCAGACATAGTCAAGAGCTCTGCAATCATTACATGGAGAGCAAGACGAGGGGGGGAAAAAAAAAGTAACAAGCATTTTTCACACCCTGGCTTTATCTCCTGGGCTTTGGTATGAGCAATAAAGACAGAGTGCTGAAAATAGAAATATGTTTGAACAACAAGGGTGTGTGTCTCTCCAGTCTTATCTGGAAAAGCAACGTAAGCTCTCATACTGCCAAATATATTTCCAAGAAACCACAGCCTTCCCTTTGCTGAGACATGACGTTGGCAGCTGGGAGAGCAGTGCCACAGATAGGAAGTGCGTGTCTGTGTGTCATACTACCATGTTTCTCAGCTGTAAAAAGTCTGTAGTCTATGCATCGCATAAGCGCTCTGATATATTTGGTTCTCTCTCTCTTAGTCTCTTAGAGCTTATGGGGTGGTTACCAAGGCCTGAACGTTTTTTTAGGCCCAGCCCAAGGAATGAGGCAGCATAAAGGACTGCAGTACTCCACAGAACATCCCCCGGGAGGGACCCTGCAGTCACCCCTGAACAGGTAGCGCACTGCCCTACTAACAAGACTGCTAGGCACTGTTGGAATTGTTGCTTCACTTCTTGGAAAATGGGAAGCAGCAACTTGTAACTGCTTTGCACAGAAGACCTGCAGTTGTGCTATATACCCTTCATGCAGGAAGAGGAAGTCTTTAAGTCTTTTGGTTTTTTTTTTTTTAATCATCTATGTTTTCAATGCATGTACGTCTGCACGTTTGAGTTCAGACCTGCTTAACACCCCTGCATGAGCGCGTGCTGCTGGATACAGGCAAAGGCTGACCTCCAGGCCTCCCTGCTGGGGGAAGCTGACGTACACTCCACATCCGAGTATGGACCAAACCTTTCATTTACAACTTTTGAGTCAAACATGGCATGGCAAAGCACACTAACTCTCCAATCGTTATTTGAGTTTAGCTATTTGGTGGTCACAGTACAGCTGCTTTGAGCCTGACCTCCACAGCTAGCACATGGGTGCACCATTCACATTACACAGGTTCAAAACTTCATAAACTTAAGCCTCAAGTCTGGTCCTAAAGAAGCAGAGAGTCTGAGAAATGTGATACAAGGCTGGAGTAGCTGCTGCCCAGACAGAGCCAAATGGAGTTTCACCCCTGATGCATCTGACCACAGAACAGATGGAAACTAACCCCAGTTATGAAGACAACGGTGTAATTCACTCCTTTCTTCCTTCTTCTTGTTAACAGGGCTGGAGTGCACCCTGTCTTGAAAGCACTGTGCTTAAATTAACTTGAAAAGCTGTAGACAAGACCACACTTGGTCTTTCCTGGCCAGACTTCATTTCTATGATCCATAAAATACCCACAGAAGAGATAATTTATTTTTTAAAGTACTGTCTCTCTTCAAAGTAATGGTTAGGAGGTATTATCAAGCCCTAAAGTAACTTACTCATCTGCCTCGCAAAAAAGGAACTTCTGACAGGAGAACTGCATCTTTACCAGAACACAAACCCACTACAGAAATGCTGAATACACACAAACATCTCAGACCAAACAGTTATCAGGCAACTTATTGTCCATATCCTAAGCGAAAGCAAACACAGTCTGATCTAATTTGAGTGGATCTTTTACCAAGACCAGGAGGTCAGAAAAGGAGTAGTCCTTTAGAAAGTGACTGGACAAGTTCACTGAAAGAAAATCTCATGGTACCTCCTCATAACCAAGGAAAAACCTAACCTGGGGATCAGGCAACTGTTCAGGAACAGCCACCAAATACAATTTATACTTATATTTTCCCTCAGACCCCTGTTATTGGCCACTGCCAGATAGACAATGGGCTAGATTTATCTTTAGCTTAGCTGGTACAACTATTGTGCTTTCTTAAGATGTTGTAACACCTCAGATCACTTTTTAAAGGACTTAATGGGGGAGAATATGGCTATTATCTGATGTACATAGGATACAGCAGGAATAAAGGACGACATAGTGTTACCAGTTGTCAATGATGACAGCATAAGGCTGGCTCTTCAATTGATCTAATAGTTACAGAAAGTGTAACATTTAACACTTGAAGGGTTTTTGCCATAGAAACATACCCAAAGCCTGTCCCCATCAACAGGACTGAAATAGGCCATAGATGGATCACCTAGAGGAGAAAGGGTTTAAGTGTACCCACTTGACTTTCCTCTGATGATGTCTGTAATTCTGACAGTGTTTATTAGTGACTTGGAAACAAAGCGAACGAGTGAGAAGGCACAGTCGCCACTGCCACTCCATGTGCCACCACTAGTCCGAGCCATTGAGCCAGGAGTGCCTCTGCAGACGCTGCTCTCCGAAGATAACATTACTTTTTATAAAGCTTACCTCTATGTTTGCAGTACTTCCAGACATAGAACACGCATAGCTCATCACACTTGTCTTCTTTATTGTCCTTCGAAACTTTAGCAGAGGAATCATCTTTTTTATCTACAGGAAAGAACACATCAGTCCTTATTTGCCCTACCAAAATACAACTCTAAGAGAAAGACACTGCAATTGGTATTTCATCCCAGAAATCACAAAGAGTTGACTGCAGTGGCCAAGTCAAGCACTTTCAGGATCTGACTATCCCCTGTACAGCTCACTGCATGAGTCAGGGCTTTGTCACTGACCAATAAACCCCGACAATGGAAGAAGGCTCAGTGGCGATGGCCAAGGGCGATGTGCTCATGGAGCTCAGAGAGTAACACAGGGTGTGACTGACCACGGCTGTCGCAAAGAAACTGGCTTTGTCTCAACACAAAGGGGACCAGAGGGTGGATTTTGTTGCAGATAAATGGCTATGTCAGCTGCATGGATCAACCGGTGGTATAAATGTTTCTCCCTGCATTAGCCAGACCAGCACGGGGCGGGGAGTGAATACAGGGCTCAGCCCAACATAGCAGTATAAAAACTAAACAAACAAAAGAATTTCGAAGAGAGAAATGGGCTTGAGCTGGCTTCAACCCACGTATTCCTTCACGGGGGCTGGTGACACAGAGCATCATGATGGTGAGCATGTTATACAGACCTGTAATGGGAATCACATTGGTATTGCGATTGAACTGTGTATTGCAATTGCTATGTTTTGGTAAGTGTAACTTAATATTTGTATTGTGTTTTCAGCGTATTTTGCATCACTCTGCTACATCAGAAATCTCACTGTACTGGGCCGGGCTAGGATAGGGTTAATTTTCTTCATAGCAGCTCATATGATGCTGTGTTTTAGATTTTTGACCAAAACAATGCTGATAACACACTGATGCCCTGGCTTTTGCTGAACAGTGTTTGCACAGCACCAAGGCCTTCTCTGTTTCTCACTCCGCCCCCGCAGCAAATAGATTGGGGAGTGCACAATAGGTTGGGAGGGGACACCACTGGGCAGAGGACCCAAACTAACCAATGAAATATTCCATACCGTACAACATTATGCTTAGCAATAAAAGGGAAAAGAGGGAGATTTAGGAGGGTTAGCCATATTTTGCTCGGGAACTGGCTGGGTATCAGCCTGTCTGTGGGAGGTGGTGAGTGATTCCCATTGCACCGCTTGTTTTGCTTTGTTTTCTTCTTCTTCCACTTACCCTTTGCTTTTTTTTTTTTTTCCCCTCCCCCATCTTGACACCCAAGTTTTCTTGCTTTTATTCTTTCTTTCCTCTTCCCTTGTCCCACTGGGGGTCAGGGGGAAGTGAGCGAGTGGCTGTGTGGTGCCTAGCCGCCCACCAGGGTTAACCCACAACACCCATGTAACATCAACTATCTTCAAATAAGTAAATTTGATATTAAATATTTGTGCTGGTTTTGGCTGGGATAGAGTCAATTTTCTTCATAGTAGCTAGTATGGGGCTATGTTTTGGATTTCTCCTGGAAACAGTGTTGATAACACAGGGGTGTTTTCATTACTGCTGAGCACGGCCTACACAGAGGCAAGGCCTTTTCTGCTTCTCACACCACCCCACCAGCCAGTAGGCTGGGGGTGCACAAGAAGCTGGGAGGGGACACAGCTGGGACAGCTGACCCCAACTGGCCAAAGGGCTATTCCACACCATACGATGTCATGCTCAGCATGTAAAGCTGGGGGAAAGAAGGAGGAAGGGGGGATGTTCAGAGTTACAGCGTTAGTCTTCCCAAGCAACCGTTACACATGATGGAGCCCTGCTTTCCTGGGGATGGCTGAACACCTGCCTGCCAATGGGAAGCAGTGAATGAATTCCTTGTTTTGCTTTGCTTGTGCACACGGCTTTTGCTTTACCTAGTAAACTGTCTTTATCTCAATCTACGAGTTTTCTCACTTTTACCCTTCCGATTCTCTCCCCCTTCCCACTGCGGGGGACTGAGCGAGCGGCTGTGTGGGGCTTAGTTGCTGGCTGGGGTTAAACCGACGACATGCATGGAATATCTAAAAGAACCTGTTCAGAGGGTATTGGACTCTGACAGGTTTTAAAGCCAAGGTCCTTCTGCCCAGGAGGACAGGAGATTTACGAGTTCATATTGTTCACTGGAAGATATATCAAGACAACGGCTCTACTGACAAAGCTATATCTGTTTCCTGGGGACAGAAGGCAAGGAAAGTTTTCACACGCAGAGATACAACTCTGTCTCCTTCCCAGGAAGGAAGCAATGTGTCCAGAGCAGTACTGAGATCAATCCTAGACTACTCCCCATTGTGCTGCACAATGCTTGGGCAGAAATCTCAACACTCCTCTGCAGGCCGTCCGGTACTATGGCTTTCAGCATATGGTAGGGTAAGCACATAAGCTGCACTCCAACTACCACAGGGAGCTGTAGGGCTGTGTATTTTTCAATGCGTTTTCTCTTGGTTTGTAGTTGTGTACTGAAAGCACAGAAAGGATGATGGGGTTTAGCTGTGATGTAAGGCAAGAACACCTTCTACCTCTATCAAACTCAGAATTCTGTTTAAACTCAGTGTTTCTTACAACTTACTTTTTCCCTTCTTCAGTTCCTTGATGAATTCCAGATGCTTGTAATCATATATAGCCTGGATGTTTGAAGCTATGTTCACATCAATGCCTCCAGTTTCCAACACTCTCAATGCATGGGTGTGCAAGAGGTTATGGGATATCTTGCATGGAAAAAATCTACAGTCCCCTTGGAGAAAGTGTCGACAAATATGAAGCTTGTTGCAGTTGTTGTGCTGGCTGCAGGTAGAACCCTTTCTGTTGTAAAATTGGCAGACCTAGAAGTGGGGAGGATAGATATAACACGAAATGGAAAAGCACATTAGAATCAGTAATTTTCATCTTTGGTCTATAGCATACAGCTTTTACAGCAGAAAATCTGTTACTAAAAAGCATGTGTTCATTGTGACTTCTTTAATCCGGACAGATTTCTTGCATGGAAGAGCAGGCATTTTCAGCTGACTCATGCATTTTCAGTTTTGAAGTTTTGCAGAGGCTTTTTCCAAGAAAAAGAAAAGCCAGTCCAACAAGCATTCATTTTTGGCGCTCCTTAGCAAGACAGTTACATAACAACTGACTTGTTTACAGTTATTCTATTAAAAAGAAAAAAACCCAAAAAACCCAAAAAAACCCAACATAATAAAGAACAAGTGTATCCATAAAAACATATACTGTATCAAATGAGGTATTATTTCATGGAGCTGAAATTGCATTTGCACTTCCTATTTGTAAAGCTTATTCTGCATTGAAGACTTGGGCGTCTAAAAATGATAAGAAGAATGCTTTGAGGTTAGAGTACATATGGAAAAAGCAACGCATTTCTTTATTCCTCTGCTCACCAAAAAAAACAGATATGCAGTGAATTGGACCAGGGAACAAGTCACACACCAAAAACTCCTTCATATGGTCCACGAAGCACCACAGCAACACTTCCGCTCCTGCACCACGGAGGAGCAGTCCCCTAACAAGAAAGCTGCTTTGAGGACACACAGCTGCCTGGCGGGCAGCCCCAACATCACACCAGAACTGTCACAGATCTCTTCCCAACTCCTGTACCAAGCAACAGAGACAGTTTTTATGCTGTGTTGCAACTGAATATATATAGATTTATATACCAACTAGGGAATTAGAGATTGCTGGGACGGCAGTGTTTAAAAGACTGAAAAATCAGGCCAGTTTCAACTGCAAAACAACTCTTCACTGGATTCATATTCATTAACAATACCCATTGCCAAAGGCAAGTCCCTCATCATCATCAGTCAGTATCATGTACAGAACAATTAGCCTTCACAAACTTACTCTAAATTAGGTGGGAGCATACCAAGCCATGGACCTGATGTCATTTCAGTAAGCACTGATGGCTACTGTCCTCAATGGTTCTTAGCCTCTGAGGGAAGCAGAAACCAAAGGGGGTTGTCTTCTTTCTTCCTCATCTTCCCTCTGTCATTGTGGATGCTTTATGCTGTTCTACCCCAAACGCCCCAAGGAATGCTCTCATTTGCTTTTGACATCTTCTTTTTGGGATCTGGACTTGTTCTGGTTTTGCTTGTTCTGGATTATTCTGCTTCCATCATGCACCCTTCCTGCCTGCTCTGCAGGATTTTAGTTTTACCAGGTATCTTGCAGATTTTACTTCTACATGTTTTCCTGCACCATTTGTGCAACTATATCACAACTTTCCACTTCCCCCTTGCAATTATGGCTATTATTTATATATTTAAGCTCAGCTGCATCACAAAATGCTATCAGTGGTGTTACAATCAGTTGGATGCTCATGCAAATGCTGGCAGCAGGGGTGGCCTCTGAGAGAAGAAGCCAGGGGCTGCCCCATGCTGGACACAGCTGGCTCCAACAGACCCACTGCAGGACACAGCTGAGCCCGTCAGCCAAGCTGGTGCCACCTCTGGGAAAACACATTTAAGGAAAGGGCAAAACACTGCAAGGTAGTGAGGAGGGTGGTGGGGAAAGCATGAGAAACAGCCCTGCAGACACCAAGGTGAGAAGAAGGAAGGGGAGGAGGTGCTCCACGTGCCCAAGCAGAGATTCCTCTGCAGGGCTGCCTAGAGCCGGTTGCCCAGGACCGTGTCCAGATGGCTTTTGAATATCTCCAAGGGGGCAGACTCCACAACCTCTCTGGGGAACCTGTGCCAGTGCTCAGTCACTCTCACAGTAAAAAAGCACCTTCCTCATGTTCAGAGGGAATCTCCTGTGTTTCAGTTTGTGCCCATCACCTCTGGTCCTGTCACTGGGCACCACTGAAAAGAGCCTGGCTCTGTCCTCTTTACACCCTCCCCTTCAGGTGTTTGTAAACATTGATGAGATCCCCTGAGCCTTCACTGCTCCAGGCTAAACAGTCCCAGCTCTCTCAGCCTGTCCTCATGTGAGAGATGCTCCAGCCCTTTCATCATCTTAGTGGCTCTTCGCTTGAACTCCTTCCAGTAGCTCCATCACTCTCTTGCACTGAGAAAATAATTTTTGGAAAATTAATTTTGGACCTATTTTCAGCTTACATAGCAGGCCACTGTGGAAGATATTATAATGAGGAGATAGTGACTTCTAGCAAATCTAGGCAGTTTACCTGTAGGCCTTGGTTGCAGAGGCCCATGCGTTATCATTAGTGACAGCCACATAATGGGAGCACATACCATGCCATTAGCATCGACTGCCTTTAACAATACAGCCCGTACATACTGTTTGTAAGAGCTTGTTCCTATAGAGATGCATAAGAGCATAATATTCTCAGTGAACCTTGGTGTACCATCTAGAACATTCAGTTTTATACGGATAGAAGGCCAATAGCTTTGGGTTTTTTCCCAGAAAAATACTATAAAGAGGTGAAGAACAGCAAGGGTGCTGAACCTCACCATGGATGGGAATTCTGCACAGCAAGCCATGGTCCTACCAGAGAGTTCTGTTTGATGCTGTATTGTCATGGGTTCCCACAACATCAGAAGGGGCACATAAGATTTCTTCTCATTATAACCTTTAGTAGTAACCAGCTACTTATCTTAAGAATCATGTGCCTTTCTTAATGAGATCCAAAAGTACCAGCGCCTGCCAATGCAAAGCAATTATTCACCTACCCCAGAATTTTGGGTAAGTCACTTCATTTTTCTCTCTTTCGTTTGCCCAACTTTGTTTGAGGGGAATGCAGAAAGGCTTATCATCTACAGAGCACTCAAAGATCTATGTATCGAGAACATATGCAAGTGCTAGGTAACACCAAACAGTCTTGTGGCAGATGCCTTGCAACTTCAGTCACTAAAGAACTCAAATCTTACACCACTGCCAAGGGATGTTCTTCCTCAGTTGAAGACTGTTGCTCTATTTTAGGGGCCTGATACCACTCCAAGTGTTACTTTCATCTAAAATATACGTCTCATCTGACTGCCTATATAACAAGAAAAATAAGTTAAGGCTTTAAATATAAGCTTGTTTTTCCATCCCTCCAAGTGGAGATAACTGTTCAAGTTACTGAGCTGGAAACAAACAGTTAGTCCAACATCCACCAGAGACAGATAATCAAGCACAAACTAAGGGTTGTGATACAAACTTATACAGTAGTCCCTTGGTTCAAAGGAGTAATATAGTTCCCTGGATGTTTCTAGAAAAACTTAAAATCACTGCTTTCTTAATAGGTCTTTTCCCAACTCAATGTTTCCCCCTTAACTTCAATATCCTCTCCTTTCTAGAAACTTTCTCCTCCACAAATACTGCTAATCAAAACCAGAAACAGAGAGCACAGTTTGCCACTCAGCCTGAAGCTGGTTTAAGAACTAGCAAAAAAAGCATAAGACTTATGCCAGACACTGGTTTTGGGGGCCAGAGCATAGGAATTGCTTTCGTGCTTGCATCTTCCTGCTTAAGAGAGCAGGAAAAAAAAGCAACTACAATACAGAATCGGGTAAAAGCTGAGAGAATACTTGTATTAGGTTTGCATGGCAAGGTTTTGGTAGCAGGGGGGCTACAGGGGTGGTTTCTGTCAGAGGCTGCTAGAAGCCTCCCCCATGTCCGATAGAGCCAATACCAGCTGGCTCCAAGACGGACCCACCGCTGGCCAAGGCCGAGCCAATTAGTGACGGTGGTAGCGCCTCTGGGATAACACATTTAAGAAGGTGGCAGGGGCGGAAACGGATGCAACTGCAGCTGGAGAGAGGAGCGAGAATAGGTGAGAGGAACAACTCCGCAGAGACCAAGGTCAGTGAAGAAGGAGGGGGAGGAGGTGCTCCAGGCACCGGAGCAGAGATTCCCCTGCAGCCCATGGTGAAGACTGTGGTGAGGCAGGCTGTCCCCCTGCAGCCCCTGGAGGTTAACGGTGGACCAGATATCAACCCACAGCCCGTGGAGGACCCCACATCGCAGCAGGGGGATGCCCAAAGGAGCCTGTGACCTTGTGCGAAGCCCGCACCGGAACAGGCTCCTGGCAGGACCTGCCAACCCGTGGAGAGAGGAGCCCTCACTGGAACAGGTTTGCCGGCAGGACTTGTGACCCCATGGGGGACCCACGCTGGAACAGTCTGTTCCTGAAGGACTGCACACTGTGGAAGGGACCCACGCTGGAGCAGTTCATAAAGAACTGCAGCCCATGGGAAGGACTCACGATGGAGAACTTCATGGAGGACTGTCTCCCGTGGGAGGGACCCCATGCTGGAGCAAGGGAAGAGTGTGAGGAGTCCTCCCCCTGAGGAGGAAGGAGCGGCAGAGACAACGTGTGATGAACTGACTGCAACCCCCATTCCCTGTCCCCTTGTGCCACAGGCAGGGAGGAGGCAGAGAAATCGGGAGTGAAGTTGAGCCCAGGAAGAAGGGAGGGGTGGGGGGAAGGTGTTTTAAGATTTTCTCATTACCTTAGTCTGATTTTGATTGGCAATAAATTAAACTAATTTCCCCAAGTTGAGTCGGTTTTGCCCATGACGGTAATTGGTGAATGATCTCTCCCTGCCCTTATCTTGACCCATGAGCCTTTCATTATATTTTCTCTCCCCTGAGGAGGGGGAGTGATAGAGTGGCTTTGGGGGGCACCTGGTGTCCAGCCAAGGTCAACCCACCACAGTACTAAAAATATGAACATTTTCTGTGGAGTATCCATTGCACAAAATATCACTTTAGGGTACTGGAGATACCAGCCACTTAAGTTACAAAGTAAAACTCTCAGAGATTTAAAGACACTAAATCCAGTTGACAGTGATTTTGTAGAGCATCTAGAGGAAAATGCATTAAAAGATGATGTTAGCATGCCACGGAAAATTTTATATGGAAGCATCAGAATAAACTACCCAACCAGAACAAAGTGCTGCCTCAGCTAAACAGGGAATCCACTAATTAGCTACATCAAGAAAGCACACTGCCTCTTGCATTTGCCAAGAAACAAAAAAAAAGGAGAGCCAGAGAGAAGGTGAGAGAAAGTGTAAACGCCCCTGATTTTGAGGTGCTGTTATGTTTTTCTTACCCTGCACCCCAGTTCAGGTCACAGAAGACCAAAGTTTCCTCTTGCTTGAGAGCTTCATACATGCCATTTGTCAGCAGACACACAGCCAGTCAGCAAGAAACAGCCAAGCTGGCTTCCACACCCCTCTCCCCAGCTCTCAGGTTTATGAATGGCCTGCATCCATCGCTGTTTTCCGTTGTTTCTGCTATTTTGCTCCATAATATGCATTAAGGTGCTCAATTAGAGGCAATTAATGATGCCTGCCAGCAGTGAGGGCTGAAAAGATCTATGGGTAAGAGCTAAAGAGTAATACCAATCGATGATAGTTGCTACTATCTGCCCATTACTGGGAGTAATTAAAAAAGAATCACTTAAGTTTTAGATGCAGCTGAGCAGGACAAAGATATTATTAACCCTCCTTGCTCATCACCATCATGCTCCTTGAATCTGCCAGCACAACATATTTTAAAACACTACCAAAAAAAAAAAAAATCTATTTTGTCAAAGCCCAGCACTGTCACAGCAGGGAATAAGAAAACAATAGAACTGTTATGCCAACAGATCTGTGGAGATTATAACCCCCAAAAGACAAGGGTAACAGGCAGGACTCTGGTAGTTTCTTAACCAGGAACAGCTGTAGCCAGAACAGGATATTCTTGGCTTTGAAACAGCCATACCTTGCAGATAGCACTGCCCTTAGACACATATGCAGAACCAGAATGGATTGTTTAGCCAAATTGAACAAAATCAATGACTTGCATGCAAACTGGACAAAGGTTGCTTTGTAGAAAATTAGTGCACAAAAACTCAGCGTGCTTTGGAAGGGGCAGATTTTACACAAAGCTGACTGCAGTCATTTGGTCATTTTCTCGTAGATTTTTCTCGCTCCCCTATACCCTCAAGCACCAAAATGTGCAGGTCTACGTTGGCTGGAAAAAGAAAGGGGCCCTCACTTCCTAGTCTCTATCATCTCTTGGAGAAGAGCCAACAAAATGGTTTTGGTCAGGCCTTTTACCCTGTAAGCATGTACAATTACTGTGATCTTTCACCTCTGCCTTGGTTACCTCACTGTCTGTAAATCTCTGGTGAAGTTGCTGACTTTGTTTGTTTGCTTGCTTTGAGTAACTTTGTGGCTGTCCTGTTGGGATAACAGGAATGGCACGCAAAACAGGCTGTAGCCTTGCTGTGCACTGCCTGCTGTCAGAGGGCAGGTCTTCTCCTGACAAGTCATAGATGACGTGTCCTTATCAAGGTGCAAGCCTTCTGGTATTTACATAAGCAACCCATTCCTCAGTATTTAACAGTTTTATTGCTGGTTGGTTTTTTTTTGATCATAAGTACATGTCACTTTCACAACCTTTGCTCCATATAATTTCTTCTGGTGCTTTCACACGCAGCTATTCCCATTCGTACTTCATTCAGACTAATCTTAATATTTCTGCTACATACCTTAACAGCTTGAAATTGAGATCAGACCACCTCTTGCCCTCTCCCATTCCTAATTAACAAAAGCTTCTCTTAAGAAATCAGTACAACTCACATCAGGGAGGAGAAAAGGGTCGTTTTGGAGAAGCAGGACTCGCAGCTCATTCTCATCGAGCCCAGACAACTCATGAGTCTTTAGAACTTTCCTGTTCTCAGCACTGATGATGTCGTGTGAGTACTTACAAGATCTGCAAGAAAATACAGAGAAATATCAATGTTTACTTATTCAGTCAAGTTGATTTAAAGAAGAACCTCAGATAACGTTGAGCTCGGGAAAAGTCATGGAGAGACAGGCAGTTTGGCAAAAGTCTGTGAACATTTAGATGGTCTCTGTGATTAGCTGCAGAATGGACCAAACAGCATAATAACTGTGAAATACAGTAGCATTATTATCCCCATTTTAAACATGGGTGTGGCCAGACCACTTCTAAGAAAGCTAGCAGCACAGATTTGAAGGCAAGTCTGTCGACCCCGCACTTTCTTCCACTCCAGTAAGAGGCAAGTCAAGTCACACGATCTGAACAGCTGGAAGGAAAGCTAATTTTAGAGGAATACATCAACAATGGCGGAAGTTGCAACACCCTTGATTTTGTGAACGTAAAAGGTTGTTGTCCCAAGAATGGCACGTAAAGAAATATGCAAAAGTCTCAGAGCACAAAACAAAGAGATAGCGAAGCTTAAAACGACACGATTTCTTATCTTTGCTATCTGGGAAGTTAAAAAAAACCTAAAAAATCCAGGAAAGTTCATTAACTTTTGAGTTTTGGATAAAAAAGCCATTAAAGGTCAATAACGACGATGCTGGTGCCACTTACTAAGAGAAATGTCTGAAGTGAGTATGAACTACAGAGAGAGAAAGATTGCCTATTTTTTGCATCTATTTGAAAAGATACTACAAATCAACAATAAGAAACATAGTCAACCTGTACATTAATTTGATGCAGTAAAATACAGCTTCCTCGTGTCTTGATCTTCAAAGGCATGACTTGATACAGCCTTAAGAAGAGATACTCAACCAATAAAAAGTACCTGTTAATCTATCAGGCTCAAGTCTCTGTTCCCTTTATCCTTTTAGCCTCTAGTTAACTCCTGAAACTCTCCTCATGCTGTGTCTGATCCCATCCTTCTGTACAGACCTTTGTGCAGACATTTCGCCCCTGACCCCCGCACCCTGCTGGACACATTGCTTTGTAAGCAAATAAACAAGAACATGAAGTCTGAAGGGCAGAAGTGTGCCATCTTTGGTCCTGAGAAACGATCTTCTAAGGATACTAGACTCTGTAGACACTCAATTAATGGCTATGAAGGTAGGAGAGCTACAGAGTATTCGAGGTGGGAGCCATCACCAGCATTCCTCCACAGTTAAATTCAGATTCCACTGACAGTCACACAGTGATCTACATCACTTGAGTACATATTTCTAGGTCAGTGGAACAGTCCACAAATACAGTGATAACTAATCAGCTGAACTTAATAACACATTCGGAAAAAAAGCAGTGAAAAGTTACTTGCCAGACACAAGTTAAAAATGGGTTTAACTGCACTAAGATCCTGATTCCACTAAATAGGAAGACCCCAGTAACTTGCACAGACATTTTTGTTTCAAAAGAATTTAAACCAAAAAGGATGCAAGAACTGGAAGCAAGGCTAGTGTCATGGTTTAACCCCAGCTGGCAACCAAGCACCACACAGCTGCTCACTCACCCTCCCCCCGTCCCGTGGTATGGGGGACAGAATTGGAAGGGCAAAAGTAAGAAAACTAGTGGGTTGAGATAAGAACAGTTTAATGACTGAAATAAAATAAAATAAAACAAAATAATAACAATGAATGAATAATAGTAATGAAAAGGAAAACAACAAAAAAGAGAGAAAGAAACAAAACCCAGGAAAAACAAGTGATGCAACCGCTCACCACCCACCGACTGACACCCAGCCCATCCCTGAGCAGCAATCACTGCCCCCCGGCCAGCTCCCCCCAGCTTTATATACTGAGCATGACATCACATGGTATGGAATAGCCCTTTGGCCAGTCTGGGTCAGCTGTTCGGCTGCGCTCCCTCCCAGCTTCTTGTGCACCTCCTCGATGGCAGAGCATGGGAAGCTCAAAAGTCCTTGGCTCAGTATAAGCACTGCTTAGCAACAACTAAAACATCAGTGCTTTATCACATTATTCTCATGCTAAATCCAAAACACAGCACTGTAGCAGCTCCTAGGAGAAAAATTAACTCTATCCCAACTGAAACTAGGACAGCTAGATTTTTACCTTATCAGTTAAAAAATATTCTCTGTCTTGATCCATGTGGTCCACCTAGCAGTATTTTTGCACCCTCATTTTAATCAACCTCCCTCCTACAAAAGGCATACTTTTCCTTTTATTAATTATTAACACATACAAAGGTGATTTTAAATACTTAGCGCTATTGAGAGAACAGAATGGTTTATCATTACAAAGGGAATCACCTCGTTGCATGTTTTAGTTCACACAGAGTCATCCAGTGCAAGTGCCTATATGCACTTGAAGGTATTTCTGCCAGTGAATCACAGGGAAACTTATCGTACCATCAGTAGAGCGAGAAACAGTAAGAAAATCTTAGCACCCTAATACTTTGCCAGTACCGCTCTGAGACAGACACGGCCTTTCCCCTCCATCCTCTTTGGATCCAAGCGCACAACGAGCTATTTTGCTGGGAAGAGGAAGAATCTGGCATGGTATCAGCATGTTACTAACACCACAACAGCGCAAGACCTGGGGCTTGGGCGCTTACAACTGCAAATTCTTCCACCAGAGCTGGCTGTTGCCATAGATTGTCACTGAAAGGCTTCTGGGTTTCCCTTCCACGTTTGGTTTTGGTTTCCTTTACCGTTATTTTTCTAAACTAGGTACCACCTTTGGCCCACCTGCGCCTAGAGAGGCTGCCGGGCCTACCCTTCCTGCGAGTCCTCCGTAATTCCAGAAAACGGGACTGATGTATGCAGGAAACCAAACGCTGTCTCTCACAGAAAGGGCTGTAGGCGGAGCAGTGACTTACAGCAAAATTAAGTGTTCGTAACTTTCTGGATTAAAACTAGGCGGCATGCTAGCTAGCACTTTGCTTTTTCTTACTAGAGAAATATTTGTAAACTATTTCATCCAGATGCCAGTGGGCGGAGGGATGGCTGTGGCAGACAAGCGGCTTTAACAAAAAACCGTAATACTGACAAAGAAAAGCAGGCGTCAGAAAACTGCAGCCTGCGGCGGTCACTGCCGGCTCTTACCAAACCAGCGAGAGCAGCGAACGAGTCCTTCCCCAGCAAGAAAGGCCCGGTACGAGGCTGCACCGCGGGGGCGGGCCGGGCCCTCACCGCCCGCAGGCAGCCGGGGCCGGAGCGGCACCCCCGGCGCAGCCGAGCGAGGGGAGCGGCCGCAGGGCGCCGCCCCGGCCCCCCC